GGGGAGGGGGGCTTACCAAGTGGCGGCGTAGACCGCGTGTTGGTTGCGCAACTCGATCGTGGCTGCGCGGCCGACGGGGATGCCCTGTGCGATGCGTGTGGCAGCCTCGCCCACATTGCCATCTGCATTCCACCAAGCGCAAAGGAGTGTCAGCAACGTATCCATCGTGTATGCGCTCAATGCTGGGCCGACTTACCAAACACCTGTTCGAGGTAAACGGGAAGCACACGGTCCGATTCCGCGCCAAGCATGTTCTTGACGCTCTCGGCCACACCTGCACTGGGCGTGTAGCTGTCCTCTCCATCCAGCTCGAGCGGCTTGACACCCTTAAGGTCCGACGCCCACTGTGCCATCTGCTTGGCGTCCACGTGGAACCAGCTTCCCTTGTCCGGCACATTGTCCGGCGTGAACAAGTTGGCGGGATAGATCCTGGGCAGCAACGCCACGAATTCCTCCTCCCCCGCCAGCATCGCTTCGTCCTTGAGCCTGCGCTGTGCTCCTGTGCCCTGGATCTGTTTCTCTGCGACAAATCCGCGGTTGACGAGGATCATGCCGCCGCCCTCGGCGCGTCGGAAAGGTACGACGACGTGGTAGCCCATGGTGCCATCGCGCACACGCGGGCCGACGAACATGGTGCGTGCATGATCAAAACTCCCGCGCACCTGCACGAGCCGGAAATCGAACTCGGGCAGCACGTCGATGTTGATGTTGCGCGGCAGTCGCAGCGGTGCCTTCGACAGCTTATCCTCCAGCTCCTCGATCAGGCTCACTTTCCACTTGAGCCGCTTCAGCTGCCAGTAGCCCAAGGCCGCCGTGAAGATGGGGATGAAGCCGAGCACGAGTGTCGTCGGTGAGCGGTACCATTTGCGGTGCGACTTGGCCGACTGCGATTGCGAGTAGCCCTCGGGGGCGTCCGGCGCCTCGTACTGCTGCTGTGCGCGCGCGGTGGTGCGGAAGCCGCGTATGGGTGTGCATCGCCCAAGTGGCGTGGGGAGAGCAAGAGGTGGACGGTGGAAGAACAGAGGCGGCAACGCCGGGGTGAGGGGTCGAGCGAGCGCATACGATGTACCTGCGTGTGTACGTAGCGTCGAGCTAGCAAGGCCAAGCGCGCTCCGCAGCTGAGGTGTCGCTTTCATGGTGGGCGATGCTATCAGCTCGCCTGCGAGTGGTGGTCTGTGGCAGTTGAGAAGATCTGGTGCAAGCTCTTCATCCCACCGGCGCCAGGTGTGGAGGTTCCTTGCCCCGAAAACTTAGCGTAAGGCACGGCCGTGCAGAGAAGGAGTGAGAGGCTCTCGCCCACGTGATGCCGTTCTGCAATCGGGCAAAACGAGGCCCTTCGATCGCCGATCTTGGCTTCACCCGGCCATCTCGCGCCTGCAAAGCCTCGTTGCTCCTTATCAACGGCAAGGGTCCATCTAACTTGCGGTGGGGATGGGCACTGGGTGACATGCTGCGCGGTGCATGCTGCATGCTGGATGGGTGTCAGGTGCCAGGTGCCAGGTGACAGGTGCTAGGTGCGGTGCGCTGCAAATGTCGCTGGTGGGATGCAAGCAAGCGAGGCGCGCGTGGCATTCCGGAGCGCTTGCAGATTTCAGGAGGCGCCTCGCCGCGTCCTAAACTTGGGAGAGCGCGGCGGTATTGGACGCATCTCGCTGGCGCGCCCAGGCCGCAGGTGAGGCATCGCGTCCATTGCGAGGGCCGACACTCATTCCAGAGCCTACATGGCTGCTCCCTCCCGAGCCGAACGCTCGCGCGCCTTCCGATGCGCGCTCAACACTGCGAGCTGAGCTGCGGAAGGAGGTAGACGCTGCTCACATTTCTCAACCACAGCTTTCCGAGCGCCTATTGTTCCCCAGAAGGTTCCAACCAAACGCTGGCCTAGATGTGAGGCGATGTGAGGCAAGGCAGGCAGGCGAGATGCCATGCCGCCAGCCCGTATGTCATGCGCATCTGGACCGTCGGCGCGAGGGATCGCTCGTGCAGCCCAAGTCGCCCTTGGCCCCGCACAGCTCGAGCGGCTAGACAGCTGCTCAATGCACGCTTTGTGTTGGTTCTGCTCTGCTTCGAGCGGCTCGTAGCTCGTAGCTCCCCCTGATTCATCGTCGCGACGCCACAACGAGTCGAGAGCTTGCTTGACGGCTCTAAACACACGATGGCCAATCTGGTCTCCTCCCTTCCATCATCTCCTAGCTCGACCGCTCCGTCTGTTTATATTACCCTCTCCCTCCTTCCCCCTTTGTCGCCGCCTCGCGTCTTTCCCACCCACACTCTTTTTGATCGTCTCGTTCCAGCAGCTCTACGATGAAGCTCTCGTCATCTTTCGCCGCGCTGTCCGCCGCCGTGGTGGTGGCGCTGTGCATTGGTCAGGCGCACGCCGAAACCGTCAATGCGCCGCTCGGCCTGTCGCAGGTCAACGACGAGGGCGTGCCCATCACGCCGCTCACCTATCTCAACCTCGAGCCGTCGAGCAAGGAGCTCTCGGACGCCGCCAAGAAGGTGACCACGCCTCCGCCTCTTCCCAAGCACCCAAAGCGTCTGCTCAACCCGGCGGACGAGCTCAAGCCGTACGTCGGCCAACTCAGCAGCCCGGGCCTCTCGGTGCGCGCCGAGCTCGGACACAGCCTCATCCCCTCGCTGCCCATCCTGGGCAACCTCGACAACGAGGGCGACCACCGCACCGACGTGGCCGAGCCCAAGAAGCGTCTCGTGGGTCCGCTCGAGGTGCTCAAGCCCGGTGAGGGCACGCAGTACCTGCCCGAAAACCACCAGACGCTGGGCCAGCGCACCGTGCACCCGCTCAACCGCCGTGCCGACTCGCCCGTCGACCTGAGCTTCTTCGGCAAGAACCTCGACGAGCTGGCGCCCAAGCTGCCTGCGGGTAAGCGCGCCTCGGACACCGGCCTCAACCTGCTCGGCGCCGACGTGCCGCTCGACAAGCTGCCCCTCCCCGGCCTCAAGCGCCAGGCAGACGTAAAGCCGCTCGACCTCGGCCTCAAGACGGGCAACGCGCAGGA